GTGAGCTGCTGCGGGAGGTGTCGCAGGACACCAAGGACGATGGAGCCATCCGGGAGATCTGCCAGCGCCTCTTCAACACGGCTGTAAAGGTTTTTTCCGCACACCCCCTCGCACCCCCTCACCCTGCTCACCCTCCTCCTCCTCCCCGCAGGGACGGGGGCCAGGCCCAGCGCTGCAGCCAGGTGCTGCTGGATGCTCCCATCCAGCTCTCCCAGATCACCGATGGATACGGTGAGTGGTGCCCCCCCCGGCCGTGCCTGTCACCCACCGTGGCTCCCACCCTGCCAGCGGGCTGCAAAGGCTCCGAGGGGTTCGGGGTGTGCTCACCTGACCTTGGGGAGCAGAGCACCCTCACAGCTGCTCCTCTCTCCTCTTGCTGCTGAGCTGTGGCAGCAGTATGTGGATGCCCTCGGGGTGAGATGGGGTGAAGGAGGGGAGATGCCCTTTGGTCCTGGGCATGGGCAGACATCAGGGCAGTGCTTTGCAGAGCCTCCCTGTCACGTGTTCCGCAACACAACCGTCTCCTTGCAGCTGACGCCGGTGCGGATCTGCTCCCGGGGCTGCTGCTGAAGAGAGGCCAAACCTCGGTAAGTTGAGGGCTGTGCCCTCGTGGGAGTGCCTGACACGTGGGGCTGCAGGTGCCTGTCCTGCTCTGTCACCTCTCCCTCAGAGAGCAGCTGGGACAGGCAGTGTCCTGGTTAGGGGCACAGTTGCAGAAGGTACTGCTTCTTCATGCCAGGCTCACTGTGATTTGGGAATCTTTTCATCTTGGTCTGGTAGAAAGGCTCAGCAGGAGTTAATGGCTTATTAATTTGGCAAGATCTATTTTGCTGTAATTTCTTAGCAAGCTTCAGAGTGTGGTTGATGCAGTGGTGGTGCTCAGGGTGCAGCTTCTCTGACTTTCACAAAGACCTTTGTCTCCTACAGTGAGGCCTTTGATTGAGGAAATACGATATCCTGGGATGACATCTTGAGTATTCAATGAGAGAGAAATCCTGGCTAATGGCAGGATATGGGGTGTTAGAGGTGGGGAGTTGGCAGAGAGCTGCTGCAGGGAGGTTGTAAGCTCAGCTTTAGAAACAGCTGTAGGTTGTCATGGTTTGAGAAATAAGAGCAGGAGTAGAGAAGTTCTGAAGCAGTTACACTTCATGACCTGAAGGAAATCAGGACATCTTTATCCATGGAATGCGTAGCTGCTCAGGAACAACTTGCCTTGCCATCTGTGTTGGATATGCCAAAGTTTGAGCGCGGGTGAGGTGCAGTTGTGCATCCAGAAAGCAAAGACAGGAGTGGCTGTACAGGGTGTGAAGTCTCTGCCAGGCTTGCCCCTCAAAGGGCTCTCCTTTCCATGGGTTAATATGTTGGGGACGAGAACCTCTTGCTTGGAGGCTGAGACCTAATGTGATCCCCACGTGTCTGAACTGGAGTCTTAAATGAAATCTGGCAGCTCTTGCTGGTCTTGGCACCAGACTTGTTGCTGCTGAGTTCACTTTCTGGCTCTTGTGTCTACAACTCAAAAAAGGATCTTCAGAAAAGCTGGAGATGATTCAGAGAAGGCCTTGGGAAGCCTGTCAAGTTTTGGAGGACACGTCTTACTGGGAGGTTCAGGGAGTTGGGAATAGTTTACTGAGTGACTCAGTCTGTCTGTAGGTTTGGGGTCACAGCTGCAGTAACAGGACACTCTTCAGTCTGGCATGCAGGTCTGTAATGGGCTCCAGTGGCTGTAGAGTTGCCTGGAAATATCTAGGAGTGTTCTTGGTCAGCCACAAATATTTGACTTGATGGAAGAATAAGCTGGAGTGGACTGAGGGCCTGGCCAAGACCAGGTTAAAACACTTGGTGCCTTCTTGCCTTCAGGGTTAATTCAGTGGTTTTTGTCTCTGACTGATCCACTGCACAAGCTGAGTTTGTTCCAAACTATCTAAAGTTTAACATGCTGGGAAGGGAAGCACCTCGTGGTGCAGGGCAAGGGTGGGCACAGGGTGTGCTGTAGGATGCCCTGGGGTAGCAGGTTACTGCTGTTGAAGTGTCTTGGCTGACCCAGGTCCTTGGAACTACAGAAACTGGTCATATGACAGTGTCAGCCAAATCCTCTAACTTGCTGAGGCAGAACTTGTGTATTAGCAGTTGATTTAGGACTTCATTTCTGGCCTGATTAGCCTCCTCAAATGTGCTTCGATCTGTCCCAGTTTCTCTGTCCCACCTCCCTCCTGCCCTTCCTTCCAGGCCTGAGAGGCTGATTGATCTCTTTTCTCACAGAATTGGGCTTTTGGGGCTTTTGCTGAAGATGCTCTCTGTTCTTTAAACTCTCTGTCTCTCAGATGGTGAATGCCAAGAAACTGGAGAAGGCAGAAGCCAGGCTGAAAGCCAAGCAGGACAAGAGGATGGAGCGGGATTCCCTGAAGTCATCTGGCCCTGTGTGAGTGTGGAGGGCACCTTGGACATCCCCATCCCATTCTGCTGAGTATGGCTGGGATGTGGCTGTACCAGAGCTTTCCTGTTGACCCCCTTCTCTGTTGCCTGCAGAGTCCTTGAGGAGGCATCTGCCAGCCAAGCTTCCAGCAAGAAGGAGACTCGCATGGAGTCATCAGGCAAGAACAAGTCGTATGATGTGCGCATCGAGAACTTCGATGTGTCCTTCGGTGAGCGGTGAGTGTGGCTGGGGAGGTGGGACACGTCCTGGTGGGACACCAATCCTAGGACTTTGGACCATGGGGGATTGAGACTGGATTGGAGTGCAGCTGAGAAATTACGGAGGGTGTGGGAAGGATCAGGAAGCAAGGTGGGCACTGACCCTGTCAGCTTTGGGCAGGACAAGCCTGTGATGGTTGCTTGCTCCAGCACAGCCTGAAATATGCCAGGGCCAGGCAGCTGCCAGTTTCTCCTCTCTGTGGGGCAGTCTGACCAGAAACCTGCCTGTTCCCTTGCTTTAGTGTCCTCCTGACGGGAGCAGACCTGAACCTGGCCTTCGGACGGCGCTACGGGCTGGTGGGCAGGAACGGGCTGGGGAAGACCACGCTGCTGAAGATGATTGCCAGTCAGAGTCTGCGCATCCCCTCGCACATCAGCATCCTGCATGTGGAGCAGGAGGTGGCAGGGGACGACACACCAGCGCTGCAGAGTGTGCTGGAGTGCGACACCACTCGCGAGAGCCTCCTGCGGGAGGAGAGGGACCTGACAGCTAAGATTAATGCGGGCAGGTGAGGTGTTGCCGCTGGATCTCCAGTGCCTCTATAGCCTCTTGGCCATGAGGTCTCATTCTGAGGTCTCTCCCTTCCAGTAAAGGGTTCTGGCAGGGCTGGGCTGCATGTTGTCCACCTTAGTCCTGCCTGGGGTGATCAGGCTCCCCTGGCACTCAAACCATGACCTGGTTGGTCCCACATGTTCTTCTGTCTTGTCCTAGGGGGGAAGGGACAGAAGGTGCCAGACTATCAGAGATCTACACGAAGCTGGAGGAGATTGAGGCAGACAAGGCCCCAGCGAGGTGAGACAGCCCTGTGGGCACCACTGTCTGTTGGCATGGTCAGAGCAGACCAGTGGTTTGGGGTATGGAAGAGTGATGCTGTGGCCCTGGGATCCAGTACGTGGGGATGGAGCTCTCCCTACTACTCTTCTTGTCTCTTCTCTATCACGGCTCTGGTGGTTTAGTTTAGGAGTAGCTTCCCACAGAGGCTGGGGGGATTTTTTTTGCCCCAAAAGGCTTGCAGTGTTGCTGCTGCTCCTCTCGGACCTCCCTAGGTTCGTGGTGTCTGGGGAACGTTTCTGGGATGTTGGTGATAGTGTCTCTTCCTGGTCAAAGAGCTGAAAACTCCTTGCAAATCTCCTGGGACCTCATGTGGATGAAGGAAGCCCTGCTGAGCTTCCCACAGAGGCTGGGGGGATTTTTTTTGCCCCAAAAGGCTTGCAGTGTTGCTGCTGCTCCTCTCGGACCTCCCTAGGTTCGTGGTGTCTGGGGAACGTTTCTGGGATGTTGGTGATAGTGTCTCTTCCTGGTCAAAGAGCTGAAAACTCCTTGCAAATCTCCTGGGACCTCATGTGGATGAAGGAAGCCCTGCTGGGCTGCATTTCCCAGCCAGGCGCTGCTCTTGGGTGTGCAGGGAAGTTTTCCTGCATCAGAATGTCTTTAAAACTTGCAGCAGAGTTCCCTTGGTAGCTGTGGGTCTGAGACCTCGGTCTGTGCTCTGCCCTTGGATGTTGTAGCTGGATTCCAGTTCTCTCCCCTTTCCCCCAGGGCATCTGTCATTCTCGCTGGGCTGGGCTTTAATGCAAAGATGCAACAACAGACAACCAAGTAAGTCTCCAAGTTCTGGGCACTGAGACAGAAATGGGTATGGGGAGATATTCCAAGTGAGCCCCCAGGCACTGCTGTGGCTGTAAGGGAGAGCAAGGGTCTGTTCCTGCCTATCCAGTGTGGTCTCCTGCCCTGGGGGTACCAAGCTGCCTTCCTGCTGGACTGCAGATCTCGTGCTGTGCATGAGATTTCTGCAGGGACAAGCTGCCTCTGGGTGACAGCAGAGCCAAAAGATCCTTGGAGGAACAGGGAGGCTGGCAGGCAGGCAAACACAGAGTGGTTCTGTGTTGAACAGTAACCCCTCTCTGCATCCTCTTCTCTCCTCAGAGAGTTTTCCGGAGGCTGGAGAATGAGGCTGGCCTTAGCCAGAGCGCTGTTTGCCAGGTTGGTGTCCAGGCCTTCATGCTATCGGGTTAAGCCTCCTTGCAGTCCATGCTGTGAGGTGCAGGCGTGCTGCCCGGGGGTCCTCTTGACTCGGGCTCTCAGGGTGGGGAGCATGGAGGCATCTCAGCTCCATGTGTATGGTGAGACACTTGCACTGACCCTGTGCTCTTTCTGTTTCTGATACCCATGTCTGGTTTTCCCTAGGCCAGATCTCCTTCTGCTGGATGGTAAGCTGATACTGCGAGTCCCCTCTGACACTGCTGCTGGGCCTGTCTGTGCCCTTGCTGGGGTTGGGAACATGCCATGGCCTTTAGCTTTCTGCTCAAAATAGCCCTGTGTGACAGGCTGGCCTGGCAGCACGGTCGGTGCTCCCCTGGCACTGCCAGCAGTGCTGGCAGTGGTACAGGGAAGTCTGCTTGGGCAGCCACTCTCACTGCCCTCAGCAGAGTTCTGCCCCGTGCCCCAGCTGGGTGGTCAGTGTGTCATCCTGCCCCAAGTGTTGTTCCGTTTCCCTCACCAGCCCTGGGATGTGCCCTGGCTGCCAGTCCATGCTGGAGGGAGTCCCTTCACTCCAGGGGGTGCCCACCTTGGGTGGGGGATCTGGGTGAGATGATGCTGCAGGGCACCAGGGGCTGGGTACCAATACAGAGTGGGGGAAGCATCCCTGCCTGAGCCTCAGCTGCTGTGCTTGCACCCCATCACACCCTACACAAGTCCCCTGAGCTGGGTGGAAGGTTCCCACTCAGGGTCTCTCTCTCCCCAACGCTGATCACTACCCTTTCCTTTGTAAAAGAAACGTAATCCAGCCCTCCCCATCCCTTCTGACCTCTGTGCCTCTGTCCCTTCCCTCAGAGCCAACGAACATGCTGGATGTGAGGGCTATTTTGTGGCTGGAGACCTACCTGCAGGTAGGGGATGGTGGGAGGCCTCAGTGCAAAGCAAGGACAGGGAATGGAGATGTCCTCCAGGCTGGTGGTTGGACCAGTTCTTGTGCTCTGGCTTGATGGTGCTCAGAAGTCCCTCTCACTGTTTCCTCCAGACCTGGCAGTCGACAATCCTCGTGGTGTCCCATGACAGGAACTTCCTGAATGCTGTGGCCACAGACATCATCCACCTGCACTCACAGCGGCTGGACACATACCGTGGGGACTTCGAGAACTTCATGAAGATCAAGGAGGAGCGGCTGAAGAACCAGCAGCGAGAGTATGAAGCCCAGCAGCAGTACCGTGAGCACATCCAGGTACTGGGAGAGCCAGTAGAGCTGGAGCACTCTTCTCCCAGCCTTGTCCCTTTTTCTGTTTCTAGACCTGTGGCTGACCTGGTAGGAGGTCTGGCAGTGAAGCAGGGTGGCTGGTGCTGAAGGGGACTTAGGGCTCTCTGATGCTTTTCTCTCTTGCAGGTGTTCATCGACCGCTTTCGCTACAATGCCAACCGGGCGTCCCAAGTCCAGAGCAAACTCAAGCTGTTGGAGAAGCTGTGAGTGCCTGTTCTGCTCTTCTCTGGAGGTGGGGAAGGGGCTGTGCTCATGGGAAGAAACAGAGGTTTCCAGAGTGCCTGGCAGATGTGGAGGTGGTTTGGTCTTTGTATGCTTGTCTCTGGTCTCTGGTCCCTGGTCCAGAGGCTTTGGCTAAGTGAGGTGTCACAGAGCTGAAGACTACCTGGGCTTCTGGGTTGGGAGCAGACCCACAGCACAAGGCACCTCTGTTAGTATCTCCTCTTCCTGCAGGCCACAGTTGAAACCCGTGGACAAGGAATCTGAGGTGATAATGAAGTAAGTATCCCCTGAGCCCTCGCTTGGAGGGTGCCTAGCTCCATTTCTGACGTGAGGTTCTCCTAGGTCCTATCCTGGCTGGGACAGCCACCCCTTCATGTGGTCCAGCCTTACCCTGACAGGGAACCCAGACAGGCCCCCATGTTCAGGCTGGGTTCCCTACTGGAGCCCAGGCTGCAGGTCTTTGTTCCCTTCCTGTGACCATCCTTCCTAGAGGCCCTGTGAGATAGGGAGCTCCACGTTGCCACCTGGGGGGTTGCAGAGGTTGTCCCAGCAGGGCTGGGAGCAGAGTCTCTGAAGTTCGTGGCCATCTCTCCTCTCCCTGCCTTCCCAGGTTCCCCGATGGCTTTGAGAAGTTCTCCCCCCCGATCCTGCAGCTAGATGAAGTAGACTTCTATTATGAGCCAAGTCACTACATCTTTCGTTCCCTCTCCGTCTCTGCTGACCTGGAGTCCCGTATCTGTGTGGTATGTGGGATTGCAGAAGAACAGCAGCTACAAGGGACCTTGCAAGATCGTTGCTTAAAGCAGGGACAGCTTTGATGTTAGGTCAGGTTGCTCAGTCATTGTCCAGTTGAATTCTGGATGCTTCCAGGGAGAACTCTTTCTCCCATTGCTCTGGGTCCCATTGCTCATCCTTATTTTGAGGAAGGAGTATTTTTCCTAATATCAGTTAGAATTTGTGATTTGTGCCCACTGTCCTTCATTCTTTCACTGGGTGCCTCTGAGGAGAGACTGGGTCCATCTTCCCTGTTACTCCCTGTTAGCTGACAGAAGCATGTAGTGGGGGCCCCTGCTGCATTGCATGGGGCAGCAGAGATATGCTTCATGCTTGCAAATGAAGCTGGGACCACGTAATTCTTAGGTTTGAGGGTTGTCACTGCTGCCTGTGCTGCTTGTCAGTGATAGAAATGCAGGTTCCTGATAGCTGGAGTCACTGATTATGCTCCCATCCTGCTCTCCCTCATCATCCACAAGAGCTGAGACTCCCTGATCACTGCCCCCCTGTCTCCAAAGTGCCTTCATGGGTTTCACGTTCTCCAATGCTGATGCTGCTTCTCTAGGTTGGGGAAAATGGAGCTGGCAAGTCGACCATGCTAAAGATCTTAATGGGGGAGCTGGCACCAGTTGGAGGGATCAGACATGCTCACAGGTACCTGGTAGGAAGGGCTGGGGGACTGGGAGGAGTGGTACAGCTGGAGGGCTCCTGGGCTGAGCGATGGGGATGTGTCCTGCACGCCCACACATATGCCCCTGTGGGTGCAGGGCCTGGTACCAGCTCCTGATCCCTCTTCTCATTCTGCAGAAACCTAAAGATCGGTTACTTCAGCCAGCACCATGTGGATCAACTGGACCTGAACATCAGTGCTGTAGAGTTACTGGCAAGAAAGTTCCCAGGTGAGTTTTGGAGATCCCAGGAGATCTGGGCCATTGTGGTCTCCTTTGCTGTGCACAGAGCAGCATTGATTTGTCTGTGATCCTGGGCAGAAGGCCCTGTCCCATCAGTGCTTAAGGGTCATCACCTGCTCTGGGTTAACTCCCCACATCCAGTTGAATTCAAGACACCAGCCATGAGAAGCAGAGGTAGCTGGCAGCCTGCAGACCTCAGGCTGGTACTGAGTTTTGGAGCCAGCTGACCTGTTTTTCTGCTCACAGAAGGAGCACTAGCTCCCCCTTTCCCATCTGCCAACACCTCTGGCTCCCTTCTGCACCACCTAACATTACACTACACAGGGACAGGGAGTTGGGGGCAGCATCACTTGGAGTCAGTCGCTGGCCCTGCAGCCCCTGTCCTGATTGTGTCAGTCAGGGTTTCCCTGCAAATCCATCCCCTA